AATGAAAATGCATAACAATTGAAGGGAAAATTTACTATTGGGTTATTGAGTGGACCTCGTCAATAGCGATAGCTGCAACTTGCATTCCAAGCTTTCCTTTTTGAAGTCCTTTTTTCCATTCCTTAGACAACCACGATTTGGCACTTCAGTAAACAATTTCACAGCTTCCACTTTTAACGGCTTCATCCATATCTTCTCCTATCATTGCCGCCGCTGCTCCGATTTTGTTCAAATGTTCCACTTGGTCTTCCATTATGGCAATCAACGGAATTACCACAACAATCGTAAATGGCATTCTATCCTGCCTTCATTCCAACGCACGCTTTATTCGAAGAAAAAGCTGGAAAATAAGAATTTTTCCAAAGCCAGTCGGTGGGAAATTGCGAAGACATCTATCCTACCGACTACGTGTTTTAAACAGTTTCTCTGCTCTTCGCGTTTAGCCTCCACGTTTGGAAAGTCACTCGGCGCTGTGTTTGTTGCGAGTTTGAATTCTGCGTGACGGGACGTAGAGTCTGTCATAACGGCCACATCGCATTTCTCACTTTGATTGAAGACGCTCCACTGTGGACAAAAACTGTCAAAATCAACCAATCAGAGGGTATACCAGGATCTGGTATACCGGAACGCACTTTTGTTAAAAATTCTTACAAGCGTTCCCGCACCTCTCTCCCCAGTCCCCCTCTACTTTTTATCACTTTCTTTACTCCGCACCCCTCTCCACTATCTGAACGCTTGGAACAGGCTACAGTCGAAGCTCTTCTTGAGACTTCTCTCATAAGCGACCAGCTCCAGTTATGAACACCTTTCTTTACGAATTATTAAAAAGTGTCTTAAACTCTCGTAATCGACCACCCTCTATTGTTTTACCGTGCGGTCGCTTACGAAAGCTCATTCTCGTAAGCGATCAGCTCTAGTTACGACCACTACTTCGAATTTCCGAGGTGATCGCTTACGAGAGCTTCGACTGTATTTTCTTTTTCTTTGTACGTTTTTTATCTGTTTAGTTCCTGTTTTTTTTTTTTTATTGTTGTTCATTTGTTGAACAATTTTTTTCCCTTTGGGTTTTTTCCCTTTATTCTCACTGCTGACTCTTTGTAGGCTAGCGAGGTTTTTGCGATAACGTATTTGTTGTGGTTGTTGTTACATATCAATGTAGAGAAGATCATCGCAGTCAAAACCTGCCAGGCTTGCCAGGAATTGAACCTTGACCTTTGACATACCGGTGCACGGCTCTAATCAATTGAGATGGTAAGACAACTGGGAGCTGCTCATTAAATTGGTTCATGAATTTCATATATTGAAACTGCGGGATGAAGAAATAAATGTGACTTGTCAAACCTCTGAGTGTTACTGTCAGCAGAGATATTAGAATCAATGACTGACTAGCAATGGTCACATTTTAACAAAAGCAGCTTTTGATTGTGTACACAAATGGATACAAAATAACTGAAACACTGAAATTTCTGTTGGACCAGACAGCATTACTTTCGTTATGAATTCTTTTATTATCTATTTTAAGCAATACGGATCTTCCTGCATGTTTTAATACAGCCTGGTCGAATAAAACGCAAGAGGTTTCTAACAGTTCAAAAATGTACATGAAGTCTGAACGAAATCAGCACTGCATTGACCCAATTTTGATTAGTGATTAGACAAGCGATCATCCCGTGGAAGTGATCCAGAAGAAGATCCCCCTCTAAAATTTAATAAGTTGCTTGCGCGACCCAACAATGTCTCGTCTTGTCCATTGTCTGCTTCCTTTTGCAGTTTTGGTCGTTTTCCGTTTCCCTTTACTTCTTTAAGTCTAAAAATATGGGTGTGATATTAAAGCAAACTGTACCTCCCATTTACTTAGGAAGCGTAGAAATTTAGCATGATTTGCAATGATAGTAGCTTCAGTTTTGAGTTGCTTGTACACATACTGTTTATCTTATCTTACACTTATAACTAGGGGCGCATTGCCATGTCTCTCTCTTCTCAAGTAGTTTAAGGCCTGGGACTAAAGGGTTTACCTGTAGAAAATGATTTATTGGCCATAACTTCGGCATAGATGATGGTACTGAATCAAAATTTGGCACACTTAAAGAACTCGTCGTCTTTAACATCTTAAAGTATAAATATTGTGTTAATCAGTCAGGTGATATGTCACGTGATCATTTTGCTAAAAATCGTAAATTATTGACCAATTGGTGGCCGGTTCAAGAAAAGAAACCAAGCAATTACATTTTTCTGATTCATATTAAATATTTCTAACACTTCACGTTTGGAATGACCGTCTATTGAACTTCAAGAAATAATTATGAGGAAAAAACATCATTTTAAATGCCCAGATTTAATTTAATCATGAATTATTAAAAACTTCAATTTTAAACTTCGCGTACATTCATTCCAAACGTAGAAATTTAGGTATGTTTAAAATTTTACAGAAATGCCAATTTGTTTATCCAAACAAAGTAAATTCGCCACCAATTCGCCAATTTCCTACATTTTAAATTTTTGGTCACGTGACATGTCACATGACCATAATTAAACGTTTAGGCACAAGAAAACCTCAAGATTTACCTTTGGGGAAAAAATTCATTTTGTTTTAGGTCTCCTAGCGAGAGATATTGCCAATCATTCATATGCTCCGAACAAACCTTTGACCCGGGCCTTAAACCCCTTGAGTTACTAAACCGTACTGGCATATTTTTATTGAATGAGACTGAGGATCTTATGAAGAATAATAGAGATCGAGGAGGGTACGGCCTAGGCGGAGAACACCCTGTGTAAACTCATAGCGAGCCTTTAATCCAAGATGTGCTTCATCGTGCGGCGACTTGGTCTAAAGTATTTTTTCTTGGTGAGCAAAAGCTCTCACTTAAGGTTTGAGAAATAAAATTTACAAATTCAAAATTTGCAAATTTTCTACTAGCTTTATCAATTAAACCGTTTCCTCAGGTAGCTCTGAGTAGTAGACAATTTTTTTACTTTTCAGTACTATATATGTCTTTTACATGATATCTTGAGTTCACACTCATTTGAATTTATAAAAAAAGAAAAACTTTCTAGCAAAAAAAATAATTTCCACTCTCTATTTCAATTTTTTTTGTGCTATAGTTTCTGCTTTTGTTGTTTAACAAATTAATTATAGTAGCCTGACAAGAGCTTAAACGGCAGTTTAAATTGCTTTTTTTTTATTATCCACGTAAACGAGGTAATGTATAAAAGAAAAAGCTTCCTTTATGTTCTCGTTTCCGAAACAATACGTCTATTAGAATATGTTTTATGTTTTAGCTTTTTAAAAATTTTTTGTGACAGCTAAAGTGCTTTTAGCGACTATACCAGTAATAACAGGGTTATTAAGCAACTCTACAAAAATTAGAAAGCCGCCTGGATTATTAGTAGGGATAAAACGTATGAGAGGATTAGTAAAAAAGAAAACGGTTTGATCATTATTTTGGTTTTAAGTGTTACTGAAAAGAAAACATGATGTCAATCAGGAACATTTGCCCTAATTAACGTTAAGATACCGCAACGTGTAATATATTAATCTTTGGTATTTTCTGGAAAGCTATAGTATGCTATAAAAATTGCAAAGATGGTTTTCACGCGCTACCTTGGACTTTGAAGTGTAAATTCATTTATGTTAGGCTATGTTGAAGAAACATTGTCTTTCAGTGCTATGAGCGATAAGTTTACCAGTCCGATTAAATTTTTCCGTGATGCCTCTTAATCTAAGGAACAATATGAAAAAGAGTTTGGCTAAACGATAACCATTACATTAGAAGATGTGTGTTCTCTTGGTGCTGAATACATTGCCTTTCACCGGAGTCCGAAAAAGGGTTTATATTCTTAAGAAATTTCATAATCCGTTATTCTTTTTAGGCTGAAAATTTTCCGGGGCTAATTTTCGCCTCTGCATTTTGTGATCAGGAATACATTAATTAAGGATGACACTTTGCCCTAGCTGATGTCGCACATTGTGTCATATCAATGCAAATATGTCAAAAGTTTGAAAACACAACAAATTGCACAAGAGGATATTTCTTCGCTTTATTACTGAATGTAAGTAGAAGAAAATATCGTGCTTCTAACAAAGGCATTTAGGTTTCCTAATGTGAACAAGTAAGCATTTCGCATACCTGTGAGGAAAAAGATCTCACCTAACTAACAAAAATCATCTTATTTGTTACTTAGCTGTTAGGGAGGTAGCTGAGCAAAATTTTAATTACCCAATAATTTACTGATACCGTGTAAATAACAATAGAAACCGCCATCTTTCGTGCGTCGAGTTTTATGTCAAATTGGAATCAGTCAGCAGGACTTCACTGTCCGTTTGTAGCAACCGACTTGCTTACAAAACAATGGAGACTTGGCAATGTCCATGATCATTTGTAAAGAGACCCATGGCAACTTTGGCGCAATAATATTACCAATAAAGGAAAAACTTATATTAACTTTCAATTAACTTAAAAGGTTTGTAGCCTCACCGGCTCGGCAATTTTGTCCACCAATTAAAAAAGATATACATATATATATCCGTGCATATTTATTCTTGACAGCAGTCAGAGTCATCTGAGCGCAATTTTTGGGTTTGGTTGCAGGTGTTTAATAAAACACTGTTAAAGCTTGACTTCCTGGTTTATTGTCTTTAAAGTTGCTCCCGCAAGCAATGTTATAATCACGCTTTGTTCAAGATCAGAAACTTGCAATGGGTATCAGTAGTTTTGTTAGTTTTAATATCCTCTTCAAGCTGACGAAAAAGACGTGGATTAAGTACCTGGATGTATCATAAAGTGTACAGAAGAAAAGTGGAATTATTTCCTCCTTGTGCCAATGCTATAAGATAACAGTGAAATAATTTCAATTTAGTTGAACATTCAGTGTTTTTATTTTTAAAAAAAAACATTTTTTTAAAGTTAGATGAACTCGGTAACATGCATGACTTGTACCATAATCTTCGAGTTCCAAGGAAGTGAGATAGATGCTAGTCCAAGGCAACTTTGGTAATTCCGTCACGTACGCTTCCCACGTTTTTCAAGTTTGAAACCAAGAGCACTGCACACACTTTCAGCCGTTTTTAATATAACATTAAGGTCAAATTGTTCCACCACTTCATCATGGTAACACATCCATGCGTCATCATTATCCATCATGAGGCAAGAATGTTGGTTTTGACTTGGGTGTTGAATAGCACAACCGTGGCAGCGATTCAGCTTTTCTTCTTGAATGAGTTTGTCTACCGTAGCCGCATAAGTCAGTTGGAACACATGGCCGATAAGGCTAGCTACCCGTTGACGTTGGACGTTTTCCACTTCGTCAATCGTCAATAGAGGTGAAGCGCTCGATTCCACTTGCATGTTTGGAGCAATGTTTTAAAGAATATTGGTGATAGTAAGACTTTTTCCTTAGCAAAGCGATTGCAAGAAAGATAGCGCTTTCGAAATCTACCCGCTTTTTTTTTTTTGGAAGACAGAATAGATTCTACATGAACCAATCAGGGTTAATAGAGCCCGAGCAAGTCTAGGCAAGCCTATTGTTTCTATTGAAGTAGAGAGACGCTCATTAGTAAACCTATCCACTTCATTATATATGGAGGAAGGCACATAATTAATATGCAGGATGACACTGACTAGGCACTTAATTAAAATGGAGGAACGCATTTTTTTCTCTAGGATAAAACAATGCGTGACGTCATAGACTCGACCCTTATGTCTATCAATTAGGGGGAAGGCGTATGGAAGGCAAGGGAAGGCACCAACGGGGCTTATCTTCCAACGTAGTATACTACTTATATCAGGGGCACCCAAAGACAATTTTTGGAAAATATCTGTTCGGAAGACGAGTTGAGATCTAGAATTCTCGGAAAATTTGTTGTAAAATTTCTTGCTTTCCTGCCTCTCTTAGTGCTTCCTAGGATGGGAAGATGATGGGATAGTATAACTGCCCATTTTTGACGGATTTTTATCCTAGAAAGGCCACCTAGAATTTTCTGAAGCCCTTTTTCTAGCTGAAAGTTTCGAAAAGGTAAGTTTTGACCCCTATAATTTTCGAATTACTAGACTTTCAGCTAGGAAATGCGAACAGATGAAACATTTTGAGGGGATAAATATATCTACCTTTTAAAACTAAAATACGTTTAACAATGCTATGTTTAAGTGGTTTTGAACTATATTCTAGTTGGGTGCCCCTGGTTATATTACATTTATATGGTGGCCCACAACTGTCACGGCAAAACCAAAAACCTCACGGCAAAAACAAAATACCTCACGGCAAAACCGAAAACCTCACGGCCAAACCAAATACTTCACAGCAAAAACAAAATAGCTTTGGTTTTGCCGTGGGTATTTACTTTTGCCGTGAGGTATTTGGTTTTGCCGTGAGGGTTTTGGATTAGTTGTGAGGTATTTTGTTTTTGCCGTGAGGTTTTTGGTTTTGCCGTGACAGTTGTGGGCCACGGTACATTTGCACTACCTGCTTAATCCACAGCAAAACAGACATCCGTAGCGAAAGGAAGTTATCGACAGATGACGTTAATATCCCTAGACCAATCAAAGTTCGGCTTTTAAAAACTGGATAAAGAGTATGATCATCTGAAGGGAGCTGTAAAGCATTTTGTGGCTTGCGGAGTCGAGTGGTTCATTACTAGGCGCCATGTCCACTGATATGATGCAGTTCGATATGCAAGAGATCTTACCAGCTGATAAGGATTTGGAAACCAAGATGCATGGTGTTAAGAATCTTTTGAACAGTAGATTCACTTTCCGATTGTGGCACATGCTCATTTTCCTGTTCGTAATGACAATCATTCTTACTGTGACTGGTATTCTGGCCGCAAAGTTTGGTCCAGCGAGCTCATGCTACAAAATCTCAACCAAAGAGGATAGAGGCAACTTAACTTTCCTCCCACTTCGACACTTAGCATTTAGTGCTTTAATGCTGCGCTCTTCTAGATTATTAAATTTACGTGATCGTGCAAGCAATCACATTCCTAAGACTACGAGAGAATTAAATTAATTCATCCGGTGGTCAATGAAACACCTTAGCAAGACATATAACTTTAAAAGAAAACCTCCTAAGGTCAGGATTTAGTAACAAAATTTCGTCACTAATTTCCATCCCACGAAAGACTCTCAAAGTTCGCTACGTACGTGCCCCACACCCTGTTACCCCCTGACTACGATTTGAAACGTTTGAATTTTGTTTAATCACCAGCTGAATCACCGATCTTCAGGTAGAAGTCAGTTTATTCACGTCTCTCGTGTCTACCAAACGGAAGTTTCGTTACAGACGCCCCCGGGGTACTCCTGGGAATTCTTGGTGGTGGTGTGCCGCCAGGTTCTCCAAATCCTGACCCTATTTCAGAGCAAAATTGTAATTTTCCACACCTGTTTTTAGACTAGACCCCTAAAATCCATACCCCAGAGTTCCCCACGCACCTTGAAAATCCTTGAAAGTCCTTGAATGTTAAATGAAATTCAAGGCCTTGAAAGTCCTTGAAAATTGCAGTCGGTACTGGAACGTCCTTCAATGCTAACTTAATGGTTTAAGGAGAACTGCAAAGGAAATGGAGCAAACACAAAGACCTTCGGGATAAAATTCTCTGATGTGGAAGAACTAACAAAAGACATAGACTCAAAGCTCTTGTTTTGCACTGGATGCAGTCGTTGAAAAATGCGAAATGTGTCCTTGAAAGTCTTTGAAAAGTCCTTGAATTTTTTGTTAAAAAAAAAGCGTACGAACCCTGATACCCGTTTTCAGACGGGGCCTTTAGGTAGAAATTTTGTTATCACTGCTTTAAGATTAGAGCGCAAACAACAAATTCTTCAAATCCATTTCGAATTCGCATCAGTTTCTCCTTCTCTCCCCCCCCCCCCCCCACCCCCTTTCTTACGCATTTGCAATTGAAACGATAAATTCGTTCATACACTCCCGTAGTTCCCTTGAAAACCATACCAGATTCCAGACCAAAATGGACAAAGTGTATACCCGTTTTCAGACCAAAACGGCGCAAAGACCCTACCCGATGGGGCGGCACATACCTATATAGCGTATATAAGGTAGTACCCTCTCCCCCCGGGTAGACGCGTAGTGGGTCCTTATTTCGAAGTCCGACCACAATTTCATATATTATCGTGACTCGGGAAAATCGTGAAAAGGAAACAAAACATGTACATGTAGTGGGACAGTCAAGCAGTAAAATAATAGAAACAATAATCGATTAATCAATTCAGGTTCAGATCAGGTCCAACAGTTTAGTTTGTGAAATCATCGACGTCTTGAAAGCAATACAAATGAATTCATCTTCCATGACACGGTTCAAGACATTTACCATTTTATGGCTGCTGTCATTCGGGACGTGTTCAGCAGGTCTCTTTAAATTATATAGACTAGACTGAAACGAGACTTCGTATCATTTTGCCTGCAGTTTTACTAAGTCTATATGATCAGGAGATGTAGCTAAGATGTTTTTATTGGGGAGCGTATGAGCACCAAAGATGCGCCTATCCAATATTACAATGCGATCTAGGGGCAATTCTGGGGGCATGGTCCCTTAGAAAATTTGTTAGAAATTGGATTGTCTATTATAACTTGCATTCCATGCATACGTTTTGGTTACAATTGCACCTTATAGCAGACAACTTAAGTCAATACAGATGTTGCTGGTAAAAAGGCAGGATCTTACATGAGAGGACACAGAGGAATTTTAATGGAAGTACAACCTCACGCAGAGTTGTAAGCAGAAATGTAAGCTTTGTCGGAAGCTAATGCGACTAATCCCATTTATTATTCATTCAAAGTATTTCCCGATTCTGATTGGCTAAAAGCACTCGTTTAATTCACCATAACCAGTTACTGATGACCAAATTTGGAAGAATTTTGTGTTTAACGAAGAAATGACGTCAAAAATGCAGCGTTTTCGCAGGTTAAGGCACCGTTAACCGACAAGACCTGGGGACGAGGTTGAGTTGTTTTGATTGTGAACTTGAACAGTGGAGGACATTTCACTCGTTTCAAGAGTAAGAACTAGGCGAAAACATAGCTAAAAACATGGCAAGAACAGCAAGAAGACAACTGGAAGGGCGACATCTGCTATTTGGAAAATATTTGCGGAGCTGGACAAACCTAAACGTGCACTATCAAAGATGAACTTAACATCGATGGATCGATGGAGGTTAGTATGTTTTAGCCATGTTTTTAAAGTAAGAATTATTTTGAATGAATGAAACAATTATTGACTTCGGCTTTCGTATCATATGAAGAATTATGGAGATCTCGGAGGGTGTTATCCGCCTCGGCCTACGGCCTCGAAGGATAACACCCTCCTCGATCTCCATAATTCTTCATAAGATACTCAGCCTCATTTATTAATTGTTAATTAATATGTCGCGCTCCTCGAAAATTCTAGATTTCCTATTCGTATATTAGACTTCAGTATCATAAAATCTTCATTTCGCGCAAAAGGCTTCTGAAAGAATCGCAACGTTCGTCCCACGTTGATTCCACCTTGTAGTGGACTGCAAAACAGTCGTTTTTCGGTCAAAATCAGTAAAGAAATCGGTAAAGCGTGGCGTAAGGGTCTTACGCGCGCGAGGCGCGAGAGCCTCACACGCCCGTAGGGCATGTGAGGCGAGAGAAAAAAAACGACTGTCCGTTTTCCATATGAGTTCGTTTCAACCAGGGGGTTCAAAAATGTCGTCGAGCTGTCAAAAATCTGCTATCAACTCCACCCTCTTTGTGAATTTGATACACTAGGTGATTGATTTCGAGGGAGAATAGCGCGTGTTATTGTCTGCACTTGGCTTCGAATCTTCCGCTGTATCCAGTACTTCTAAAGCAGTTTTAAGCGTTGCTTCTCTGTGAATTGTAGTGTATATGGTGGAATTAAATGTAGTATATGTAGTGGAGGATCAAAAATGAGTGGAAGTGGCAGAACGCCAACAAAGCCTGTGCCTGCTCCTCGAAGAGGGAGTAAGCCGAAAGAGCCGAGCGCTTCGGATAAATTGTAGAATTTCAAAACACACAGTTCGGCAATTTTAAGAGTGGGTGGATAAGCTCGGAAAATGTGTTTGTTGGGCCTACCAGAAAAGGACAAACGATACCAAAGATGGCCGACCTACTGAAAACCGAACTTTTCGTTATCCTCGAAGAAGGAGACTTTTTCTCCACAAGAGTTTGCTCTCCGTGCAGAACAAAGGCTAGAAACTGCGCTGCGATGCTTTCGCAAATTAGAGAAAAACTGAACACGCCAACTGACAATGAACAATTATTGCGATTGCAAAGAATAAGTAAATCCCCTCATCCCAATCCACTTCTTCGTGATTTGGCTCTGTAAATCACTATCCGTGAGAATTTAAGAATCCTGCTAAAAACGCTAACGAGCTGGGCCCAGCGTGACAAAATATTGCAGGAAAAAGGCATTAGAATTATTGAAATCCAGGAGGCACTTTGGAGAAATTGTAATTTTGATTTTAAATTTGTTGTTTAAAAACAACCTAAAGCCCTTAATCAGCCGCAATGACAACTTCGTTCCCAGGCTCCCTCACCTACCCGTCGAGAGACCAGACCCTCTGGTCACGTGTCTCCCAGAATCTGGGAGATTACAAACAAACAATTTGGGGGAGGGGAAGGGAGGGGCGGATAAGTGTGAGATTTGTCTAGCTCTACAAAGCGTACTGCGTACTTGACCTTGTCTAAAAGGTCGTTTTTTTTATAGTTCCCGGACTAGTCAAGACCAAACGTCCTACGTAGAATCCTTTGAGAGCAAAAGCGTACCTTCCTGCAGAATATCTGGATGTTAATACGATGTCGCAAAGGAAATCGCGGATTCACCACTTGTGCAGCGAACATTTTAGGCAGTTGTATTCATACCGAAACGCACTAGATTTGGACTGCCATTTACCTAAGTGTCATCTATGATGAACACCTCAGTTGGAACGAACATGTTAAAGCAATTGTGTCTAAAGCTGGCAAGCGGGTGGGTCTGTTAGGACGTGTTCGCCGTTATATCACCACACATATAGTGCTAATGCCATGTTTTTTTTTATCTATGATTAGACCGACTTTGTGGGTTCTGGGGATGCTGTGGGGAAGTAAATAGCGGAACTCTAGAAACTCTGCAGAAGCGCGTTGGAAGAATTGTAATTAAAACATCTAGTAGCGACACTGCGATGAAAGCTTTGAAATGACCAAGTCTAAGGTCCAGGCGTGATCAACACATCCTAAAACTTGTAAGGAAATGTTTACATGGCCGGTGCCCTCAGTATTTTAAGAACTACTTTGTTTTTAACAAGGAGATTTGTGCTCGTTCAACCCGCCAGAGCAATCTCTTGCATCTGGCTGCTATAAAAACAGAAGTGGCCAAGAGATCCTTTTTTTACCATGGGAGTATGGTTTTTAATAGTTATTGTAAATGTCCTTAATCCTGAAAGATCTTGTTATTAGTTCATTTGTTATATTACCTTGTATAACTAGCCGGGCTTATGAAAACCGCACCAGCGGGCTCCTGGAGGCCACACACCTTAAACTGACTCAACTAAAGTAAATATTGCCAAGAAACTCAGCTCTTTCTCCTGGTACTCTTAAGGGTGACTCTCTTCTTGGTTCCTCATTAGCAAAAGAAACATTCAAGTCCATCAAAAAGGACACTCTGGAGTTGGCCATACACTCTAGCTGCTTGAAGGCTCTAAATGACAGAGGATGCTTGAGACTTGACCAAGTTCTAAGCAGAGAATTCAAGGTTACATCACCTCCCCCCTGACCTCCTCCATCCCTCTCCAGCCTAGCAGGTTCTTGAGGGAAATGCTTTCATTGGCCAATGGGACTTAAACATTAAAAGAATTTGACATGACAAACTAAAGGCAGACATGACCAGTGCACTGACTCTCCCAGAACAAGACTAACGGACAGTATCACGCTTTTTCAGCACCCTCCCCCCAATGGAGGCCCGTTCCCAACCCATGGTGAGTTAGCTATGGTGACGGAGCTTGATAATGAGACCAACCAGGACAGCAAGCCCCCTATGTTTTTCCTCACCACAGTGACCAGAAATCTTGCTAACGCCAGGTTCCTGTAAGAAAATTCTGGTCCGTCTTGAGGTATGTTTTCCAAAATTCGGCTATATATATATATATATATATATATATATATATATATATTTATAAAATAACTGAGATAGTACGCGTGATCTGATTGGTCAAAAACCTATGGTTTATTATACCGGTAAACCCATAGAAAAAGGCATCCGGACCACGAGCCATAAACAAAACCGGCTATTGATCTGCAAACAATGATTTTAGAAAGGCTAAAAAAAAGAACAAGTTACTTACCCAGCCCTTCTTAATATCAAAAGCGTTGGTTTCCACATTTTATTTCTGCCATAGCTTTAGAAGTAATAAAGTAGAAAGCTGGAAAGCAGTTTACATTTCACGACGATGCAAAATCGCAGAGAAAGACAACAACTGTGTGAATTTCTGGTGTAGAAAGTCTCCAGGAAAACTTGACCATGTGCCAACCAGCAACGAAACGGGTAGTTTTAGCATTCTTGATTTCTTTTATGTCAAAATTAAATTCCTTAATGAAAGAAATTGTTCCAAAAAGAGATCTCTGATCAAGGTATGGTACAAAATCGGCCGCTGTAGGTTGTAAACAAGCTGCCAACGATGATGAAAGATGTTAGAGTTTCGGGCTGGTTTTTTCCAACATTTGCACAAATTATTCGGTGATATCGATGCCATAACCTACCTCAAACCACCTGACTTTACAAATCGACAAGTATTAACGACAATTTGTGGCTACGGCAAAGAAACCTTTCTCCACCAGTGACATATTTCCATCGGTCGCTGTCCGTGCATATAAAAGTTACATGCGACAACTTCGCAAATGCAGCCACGTCGTTACCGCAGCATTTCTTAATCATAATACAGTCCAGAAAACAGATCTTAAACCACTGCGGCTTGTACTATGTGAATGAAGTCCTCCATTACAATAGCTGCCAGTTCCGTCTGTAAGCACGAAATTCTTACGGATCGACTCAACAAAATACAGCGGCGTACAGTCTGATGTTCAATTAATTTCTACTTCAGTAGTAAACAAACCATGAACGTATTTTTTCATTATACGTTCGCTTGAATAAATGTTGACTTTTCCTGTAAAACAGCTTTCATAAGTTATCATGTAATGAGTGCAAAAACTCGTGTTTTGAAGTGCTGCTGTTTGTTGTTTGATTGAACTGAGTGTGGAGAAAGTTCAGCGCTATTAAATCGTGAGTCATGATTGGCTTATGATGACTTTACAGAGAAGACATGACCTGATCAAGGTATTAAAACCATATTTTTTACCTAAAAGACTCCATTCTACTAAAAGTTATTTTATAAAAGCAATAGACCACACTTTCTATGGGTTTACCGGCGTGATAACACCGCCTTGGGATGTTGGGAGAACACTCGAAAAGTTGTAAATCACTCGCCTTCCCTCGTGATTTAAGCTTTCAACATCCGGTAAACCCATAGAAAGTGTGGTCTATTGCTTAAATATATATATATTTATATATATATATATATATATATATATATATATATATATATATATATATATATATATATATATATATATATATATATATATATATATATATATATATATATATATATATATATATATATATTATTATTATTATTATTATTATTATTATTATTATTATTATTATTATAAGGTACAAATTCTCTTATTCTTTGGTTTTGGTTGGATATCGTGATCGCGGGAGGACCGCACATCAAATTCTCTACATGAGAAACGCAGGCTAAGGGCGTGAACGCTGAAAGAACGAATCGCAACACGATGCCTCCAAAGATCGATTCACAGCCCCTCTCTGGGAAAAGAGATAACGCTATCTACGCACTTAATGAATTATTCGTAGAATTTGAAACGCTGTATTCTGTGAAACCCGAACTGAACTTATTGGCGGCTGTATTTAATGAGATCGAGTCAAAGTACAGGGCTGTCAAGAAACAGATAGAGATCATTGCTGAAGAGGGTGAGAAGAGAAATCATCACCGTTCTTTTCATAACGAGAAGAAGGTGTACCCATCAAAGTCAAACTTGGATCCCAACGCACCTGCCTTTAACAGCAACAGAAGTCCAGATCAGGCCGAGTCTAGTCCAGGGAAGAGACAACGAGGGCGCTAACAATGTCAAAAACGTACCTGGAGTTTGTCCAGTTCAGAAAATCAGAGGCAGAGGTAGCGGAGGAAACTTCAAAACCTTAATTGCCATGTTGGACTCCGGCTGAAATACAAGTATTTTATCTAAGAGAGCTGCAAAACTATCAGGTCTGTCTGGCCCTCAGACACACCTTACTATGAACTTAGCCGAGGACAACAAAGGGAAGAGGTGTCTGAAGACTTGGAGATTGTGATTGAATCACCTGTCGATGAAGACATCCGAAAGAACTTCCACGTACACACCGTTGGTAAGCCTTGTAGCAGTGCTAAAACCGTGTCAAGAAAATCTGTTGAAGCTTATGTTCACCTCAAGACGATAGCAGATAAGTTACATCTGTCTGGTGGTACTGTCGATCTTCTGATTGGAACTGACTTCGTCGATGTCTTTGCTGACATCCATACAAACAGCGGTAATCCAGGGGAACCAATGGCGAAAAGGAATTGTTTTGGCTGGTATATCTTGGGACAACTGGACTCGGATGCTGAAGCTATACCACGTGTTCACTCAGTGGACATTGGAACTGTGAGTGCCTCAGAAGACATAAGGAAACTCGTTTATCAAGATTTCCTAGGAGTCAGACGGACGGAACTTTGTACCTGCAGTGAAAATGCTCTGCGCGAGAACAAGTTTGTAAAAGCGCTCTCAGCCTCGACCACGTTGGTGAACGGAAGAGTGCAAGTCAGCAAGTCCTGGGAGGAAACCGGGCCTCCGAAACAAAGTAATTATGACATTGCCTTGAAAAGAATGCATTCTGCTGAGAAATCGTTAAAAAAGATAGATTGCCTTGCGATCCTGGATGAAGAAGTCCAAAAGCTAGTAGATCAAAGCTTCGTCATCAAAGTACCACCTGAAAACATTGATCACAGTCAGCAAGAATGGTACATGCCACAACAAGTGGTGTTCACTCCGGAAAAGAGCACAAAAATCAGACTTGTGTTTGATTCATCATCTAAAGGGCACGATGGTCTCTCCCTTAATGATCACCTAGAGAAGGGACCAAATTTATTTACATCAACAGCCTACCCAATGTTCTATCAGAATGGTGCTGTGATGAGTTTGAGTATGCCGGAGATTTTCGCAAGATTTTTAACCAGGTGTTGGTGCATCCGGATGATCAAGCTTTTCATCGATTCCTGTGGAGAAAGAATCAGAGTGATCCTTCCACCGTATACCAGTGGCTCAGACTAAATTTCGGTGACAAGCCAGCTCCGGATATCGCTTTGAATGAGATCAACACCCTGGCGAAAGCTTCTCAACGGGAGTTACCTGAAGCGGCGAAGGAACTTCAGGAGCGAACGTACGTTGATGATATTGGTGGATACAGGCCAACCGCTGCTGAAGCCAAGCATGTCACAACTACAATTGACGAAGTGCTTGGAAAAAGTCAAGCAAGAAGACACATTCGCGCTAAAGAAAGACTCAGTTGTGAGAAAGAAAGAAGATCTCACAAAGTGATCGTGCCTCACCCTGTTGGCCCATATTGGTACCCTATTGGACTCGTCGCGCCTGTGACGATTAAGTACCGAATTGACCTCAAAGAACTGTGGAGTATCGGATATGGTTGGGACGACATTCTCCTAGAAGCAATCCAACAAGAATGGAAGGAAAACGAAGAAGCAATAAACTAACTTCTAACCTTCAAATTTGACTGGAAGCTAAAACCAGGGGCGCTTTCCATTTAGCCAAAATTTCCGGTTCAACCGGTTGAAATGCAAATGGAACGCGGGGTTCCAGAGGAAATTTTCCGGAACAGACGGACAACCTTCGGAGCTGCTCCACTTTTTTCGTTGCAACCGATCGGAACGGAAACATGCCGTTCCATTTGCACGACGGCGAGATTTTTCCCGCCATTTCCAATGTCCTGTGAGCCGGCGCTCACTGACTTACCTGTAAAATTAATGTTGTTGTAAAAATGGCAGAAAGGAGAGAAGGCGAAAAAACGGTAGAGTTGCAACAAGACGCCCAAAAAGATGACGATGAAGGTACATTTAGACATTTTTAATACTATTCCTAATTGCGGCTGTAACAAGCTACTTCAGTTTAAACATTTTGTATGTTTTTTCACAGGTCTATCACACTCGATGCTTGAACGATGGGAGGACTTTCACGAAAAACTTCTTGTCAGTTGTTGGCAAAAGCAGCGGCTTGAATTCGGAAAAGGGAAAGCTACCAAAAAGGACATATTCAACAGAATTGCCAATGAGTTCAATAGTATTTCTACTGACGTGAAGGTCACGGGGGAGCAGTGTAGTCGTAAGTGGCTCAAGCTTGAAGCTTCCCACAAGAAGATAACGGACCACAACAACACCACGGGAGCCGACAAGAAAACTTGGAAATACTTCCATGAAATGGAGTCTTGTATCGGGGGAAATCCAAATCTACGACCGAAGTTCACTTTGGAGAGCAGCAGCAGCACTGCAGACGTCCTTGCGGACGAAGACTCCGAGGAAAGTGGAGATGATGAAGACCAATGTTCCGCGGCCGAGAGCTCTAGTACAACAAAACGAAAAACCACTGGAAGTGGCTGTAAACGCCGGAAAAGGAAAAGAAAATCAAAATCTTCGGCTGCAGAGATGTTGACATTCCTGTCATCTTACGCAGAGCAACGTGAGGAGAACGAAAGAGACAAGATGGAGTTGATGAAGGAGGCGAAGGAGGAACGAAAGAGCTTTTTTAACCAGTTACTACAAATTATGAGTAAGCGTAAATAAGATGTGCCCAGCCAAGAGAGCATTGTTAACGTCTTTAAAGTTAACTGTGTGTCTTATGGTACAGATTTTATAGAAGACTGAATTGACGCTTTAAAAGTTTGAAACCATTAATACTTTCGGAGATTTTCACGAATATTGGTGCTGGTGGTGTAATTTGCAAATAGTCTTGTGCTAATTTATCACCTTTACATGGGTATACAAGTCCGCAGTGAGGACAGTGGTATGAATAATTATAAGATATTTCTCATGTTTGATTTTTATTTTGTTTCAATGCTTCAAAATGTACATTTCAACTAATATTTCAAAAAAATCAGTTCTGTAATTTCTGCTACAAACTTGGATACATTGTACTTTGTGACAAACTATGGTATGGAAATTTTGAAAATAGTTAAACCTTAATGTCACATTAGAAATAAAATTCTCTTTTAATACTGTATTGGTTCAATGTCTCTTGCATTTTGTCTTATTCACTTTTATAATATAACATGACCTGTACGTTTGATCATTGTAATGATACTGGACAGAAAATTCAGCTGCTGATCAGGGCTGTACAATGTTTGCATCTCAAGGTGCTAAAGGATTTTCTGCCACGTTGGACATCACGAGTTCTCGAATTATTATTATTTACACCCCCGCTATCGCCACAAAGTCAAAATCATTTTCATTCCTTAGAAACCTTTCAATTTCCTCGTCACAATTGACGAGAAAGTCGCAAATCAGAGGAACTGCAACATTGTCGTCCATTTTGTTTTGTTGCGCCTCGTCAGCGATTAACCAATGAAATGTCAAGTGTAGGACTCAAAACGAGGCTCTATCCTGGGAGGGAAAAGGCCTTTCCATTTGAACTGGAAATTTTCCGGAATGACAAACCGGAAATTTTGGCTAAATGGAAAGCGCTCCAGATCATTCAATAGGTCCACCTCAAGTACATGGTTTTGCGGACGGAGGAGAACTGGAGAATGGAGCAGCCATTTTTCTCCATCGGAAGCTGCAGGATGGAAGTCTTCAATGCGTCCCAGTTATTGTCAAGCCCTTTGTCGCCCCGCTGAAACGGAGAACCATTCCCTGACTTGAACTCTTGGGGTGCCTAGTACTTACGAGAATTTACAACACATGCCAAGAGTCCCAGGCCTTTGTTAATTTTCACGAATGCGATAGGACTCTCTGGACAGACTCTCGATTTCATTTTCGGTTAGATTCGATTTGTCAAGCTTTTAAAGTCGATTCACAAGTAAGCAATGCAATGTATGTCTTTATTTTCAGTTGACTACACATATACACATTTAGCTAGCTGTCGTGAGATGGGAGATTGTGACATTAAAGTAGTTCAAAAACAACTAGTAGATCCCGTAGACATTATTTTCCTGGTATGTCTTCAACCCGAGTAGTACCCAAACCCGTGGTGCGAAACAGCGCGAGCAAATTCAGGTGAGTTTACAGCGATTCAACACGGTACGGAATATTCCGAATGACTTGCTGAAAACACTATTTGACAGCTTGTTGACAGCTTGCTGACAGCTTGCATCGAAATTTAGCCAATGGGAATTGCCCGTGGCTGGGAGAAGAGGGTAATTCGAACGAATATGACGTATGCAAAACGGACAGTCCGTATTTTTAGCATCTCTTCCCAGTCTCGCTCTCTCTTTTCAGCCTCGTTTCCGACCTTTTGTTTGACTGCTCGCGCGTAGGTACTTGAATACGCAAAAATACGGACTGTTTTCCAGTCCAACCTTCTGGAGATACGCCGGCGTGGTAGCTGGAATACATTGCCGAGGAGAAGATCTGACATTTTGTCCTCTTCGTAGTTTTTCCCTTCGACATTTGTTTATATTTGTATTGAGAATGCAGTGCAGATCGGTGGATTTTACTACATGCGGCTTCGTGCGCCTCGCTACTTTTGAATGAAGAGTCAGCTGAAGAGTACCGGATTTCATCGCTTTGTTCACCTTTACTAGTGTTGGCGAACCTAAAGTAAAAACAAAAAGAACCGACTTCTGTAAAATAAGGATTGAAGTTTTTAATTTGTTGCTCGGCGAAAAATCGTGCATAGTTCTCGTGAAAACCGAGAGTATTACCTAATGCCAGCGATGACTCGCTTTTTCGATGGTAACGGGTAACTCGGATACACTGGCGATAAACTTCTTTCGAAAAGTTCAGTATAATTTCCTTATCCAGGCCATTTGATGACGATTTCTCTTTATGCTTTATTTACTTTGCTTAGATGATTCCGGCTACGTGGGAGGAGCTAGATGACAATGTTTGTGTGCTATAATCTCTTGCACCTTCGTTTTGAATGCCAAACTCGTTTAACCCTAGCATGAAACTCTTCTATTATGGAGGAACTATAAACGTCGATCTTTTGATGCCCAGTATGGTGTAAAATGTTTAAGGAAATCAAAGCTTAATTTCTGAAGAGCGCGCGAGGCAAACGCGAGCTTTAATTAATGCTTACAAACCCAGTAATGCTTAGGTAGAGGTAACAAACACAGGCTGCACGTTATATAGGTGGCGCATCCATGAATGCAGTGTAACCCAGTGATTCTCTAGGTAGAGCTAACAAAATATGGGCTGCACTTTAGGTGTCGCGCCCATGAGCACAGTGTAACCCTGTGATTCTTTAGGTAGAGCTAACAAAAGTATTAGGCTGCACTTAAGGTCTCTTTTCTGTTGTCGTGGCCGTTAAAATTGAAACCAGAGATCGTCTCCCAAGGAGAGTTAATAGTTAACTTGAGACGTAACTGTCGCGTCCGACGTGCCAGACAAGGTTAGGGTTAGGGTTAGGGTCTCCTTTCAAAACGACTCATAAACACAGGAACACTCCAGGTAAATACATCCTATGATTTAATTATCTAATGCAGCGTAAATACATCCAACTATTCCATTAGCTAATACAGCATTAGGTTTCCCTGTGAGAGCCCCGATACAATTCCTTACATTAAAATTATAAGGAATTGTATGGAGCTTTCCGGGATACTTACAGTGCAAGCCCTTTGTATCCTCTCATGTAACACTTTTCACTACGTTACTTCGTTACTTCAATTGATCTGAAAGTTTAAGTCGATCTTGAATTATGTTTTACATTTTTTACCCTTCTTTTTAATTAGACATCGATGAATGCAGCAACGGTAGCCATGATTGCCACCAAAACGCAACTTGCATAAATACCCCTGGACAGTTTAATTGCAGCTGTCAGTCAGGATTTGCAGGAAATGGCCGCCAATGTCATGGTATAATATTGTCCGATTTCCAATTGATCTGAAAGTTTATGTCGATCCAACCTTAATTATGTTTTACATTCTTTAACCCTTCTTTTTAATTAGATATCGATGAATGCAGCAACGGTAGCCATGATTGCCACCAAAATGCAACTTGTGCAAATACCCCTGGACGCTTTAATTGCAGCTGTCAGTCAGGATTTGCAGGAAATGGCCGCCAATGTCATGGTATAATATTGACCGATTTTCAATTGATCTGAAAGTTTATGTCCATCTTGAATTATGTTTTACATTTTTTACCTTTCTTTTTAATTAGATATCGATGAATGCCTCAACGGTAGCCATAATTGCCACCAAAATGCAACTTGCATAAATACCCCTGGACAGTTTAATTGCAGCTGTCAGTCAGGATTTGCAGGAAATGGCCGCCAATGTCATGTTATAACATTGCCCGATTTTCAATTGATCTGAAAGTTTATGTCGATTTTGAATTACTGTATTTATTCGAATAAGCGCCCAACCTCGAATTACCGCCCACCTCGAATAAGCGCCCATCCTAAAGGCAAAAAACGTTAATAAGCGCCCAAGCCTCGAATAAGCGCCCACCCCCTCCTCCTCCCAATCAAACTCAAATAAGCGCTCACCTCCACCCCACCCACTTGAGCGAATAAGTTCTAATAAGAGACTTCCCCGAGGACCAAGTTTTCTTCAGAGTATTTTACAGAAACCTTGCTTTGTTACTTCTTCGCGTTTTTGTTATTAGCATTTATCGTTTTGTTGCAAAATAAACATACTTCACTTGCTAAAAATGGTGAAAATTTATTAAGCGCCCGTCTCGAATAAGCGCCCACTCTCAAGGTCCAAAAATTTAATAAGCGCAAAGGGCGGTTAATCGAATAAATACGGTATGTTTTACACTTTTTTAGCCTTCTTTTTCATTAGATATCGATGAATGCAGCAACGGTAGTCATGATTGCCACCAAAATGCAACTTGTGCAAATACCCCTGGACGCTTTAATTGCAGCTGTCAGTCAGGATTTGCAGGAAATGGCCGCCAATGTCATGGTATAATATTGTCCGATTTTCAATTGATCTGAAAGTTTATGTCGATCCAACCTTAATTATGTTTTACATTTTTTAACCCTTCTTTTTAAGTAGATATCGATGAATGCAGCAACGGTAGCCATGATTGCCACCAAAATGCAACTTGTGCAAATACCCCTGGACGCTTTAATTGCAGCTGTCAGTCAGGATTTGCAGGAAATGGTCGCCAGTGTCATGGTATAATATTGTCTGATTTTCAATTGATCTGAAAGTTTATGTCGATCTTGAATTATGTTTTACATTTTTTTTACCTTACTTTTTAATTAGATATCGATGAATGCAACAACGGTAGCCATGATTGCCACCAAAATGCAACTTGCATAAATACCCCTGGACAGTTTAATTGCAGCTGTCAGTCAGGATTTGCAGGAAATGGCCGCCAATGTCATGGTATAATATTGACCGATTTTCAGTTGATCTGAAAGTTTATGTCGATCTTGAATTATGTTTTACATTTTTTTACCCTTCTTTTTAATTAGATATCGATGAATGTAACAACGGTAGCCATGATTGCCACCAAAATGCAACTTGCATAAATACCCCTGGACAGTTTAATTGCAGCTGTCAGCCGGGATTCACGGGTGATGGTCACCAGTGTTATGGTATGACTCACTTCTGAAAGGAATTGCACTTAAATTTGGAATGGGTGATAAATCGTAAAACCGGCGACCAGCGCGATGAATGCAAACAAACCCAATGAGCCACAATCGCCACAAACATATGTCTTGTATTTATACTCAGCGGGAAAGAAATTCGTATAAGGCCAGAAGTTACACTGTCATGATAACAATAATATTTTATTTAATTTGTATTGGATCGGGAATCTAATTCTTTAATCTTTAATGTCTCGTAGCAATAGCAGCCCTGCTTGCCACCAGCAAGGAATTGGTGTTAATATTGCTACGTAGGCACCTGTCAGCCAGTTATCTCCCGAAAAGGCCGTCAGTGATGTTTCGTAATTTGCTTCTTCCTTAGTAAGAAAATAAACTTTACTCGAACTTTGACCAATTACTTTTGCTTTATGGTCTGAATATATACGACAGAGTGGATCGAAGTTTAAAATTTCGACTAAAGAAGAGATAAAATTATAGTTTATGTCATAGAAAGTAAAAAGAAACAATCGCATCTTCATGAGAGACGTTGTACTAAGCCCTTGTTCCTCAAATATCTTGGAATTACCGCGCCACCTGACAAGAATCGGATACGTAGTTCCTGAGGACTCGCAGGAGCTAACCACAAAATTCAAAATTTAAAAATACGCAGATCAATTCTTCCATCACGATTTTTTCGATTTATACGAGCTTTAAGTAAAATGTGTATACATCTAATTAATTGATTAATAAATGGCGGACCCAAGATGGTGGATGGTTCCAGATCTTTGTTTATAATAAACGACGTCATCGTAATTTCACTGTGAAGTTGCTAAACCGGGAAAAGCCTATTCCTCGAATTTCTCATTCAGTTGTCAGACTCGGGTGCAGCTCAATTCTGTCGACTGAAGCGGTTGCTGCACACATGCGGAGCCTAATGTAGTAAGATCGAAAGAGTTTTCCTAAACAAGAACGCATCGAAGTGGGAGGAAAGGGAACATTGTTCGAGCAGGATTCTTTCAAGAAATTTGTCATGCTGTGTTAACTGCGTTCAGAAAATGACGTCACAAAGCAATTGTCTTGTGCTCTTGGTAACCAGGCCACAGAAACATAGTGTTGTAATGGCGGACTAAAATTTATGGTTTTTGAGCGCAAAAAAGACCACTTTCCTTAATCGTATGAAGCTATAACTTGCACACCGTGTCCTTCAAGTACTAAACTGTCAATCTAGCAAAAAAAATGATAGTCAAGGATTTGATCGTAGTAGCACTTTAAGGCGGACAGTAATCCATAAAATAAACGACACTACTCCTTAACGCAGGTACTATCAGCGTGGGCTTTTTAACCTTGAACAACCTTGGACTGTGAGCTAGTTATTAAGAAACTATAAACTAGTTATTAAGAAACCCGACCATACACAAGATAGACCTTAAGAATAACAATTTTTTGTAAACAAATCATGTACTAAGTTAACCTCACTGTACAGTTGACTTTCAAAGAATAGACAGAAGCGTTGCGTCGGCTGTCTAAGAACGGCTGAGTAAGGAACGAAATATAACGACGTGGCAATGGATTATAAACAACTTGTCCAGGTTTTGTCCGATATGCCTCTGACAAGAATTGCCGCCGTGACAACGATCCTTTAATTATGTTTGAGCGGATTATCTTTAATAGACTTCAGTTTTCATGTTTTATTCAGTCCAAATGTAGTTCATGTTTTGTTACCCAAGAGAACCGTTTCTTTCAAATTTCGGCATTACATTTAGCTGCATATGTACGCATAATTAAAAAAGAAAAGACAAAAGGAAAGGGGAAAATTTCTTTGATAACTGATCACATGACCTTTATTTGGGAAACAAAGGCATACAAGCCAGTGGCACCCAACGAGAATATAGTTCAAAACCACATAAACATAGCATTGTTGAACGTACTTTAGTATTTGAACGGTAGATAAAGGCTTATTTTTATCCCCTACAAATTTTTCATCTGTTCGGATTTCCTAGCTGAAAGTATAGTGATCCGAAAATTATAGGGATCAAAATTTACCTTTTCGAAAATTTCAGCCAAAAAAGGCTCCAGAAAATTCTAGGTGACCTTTTAAGGGTGAAAATCCGTTAAATATGGGCAATTATACGATTTTTTTGAAGTTCGAAAATCCTAGGAGAGGCAGGCAAGCAATACATTTTTCAGAAAATGATCCGAAAATTCTAGATCTCAAATCGTCTTCCGAACAGATAATTTTCCGAAAATTGTCGTTGGGTGCCCCTGATACAAGCAAGCAGTTGTGCTTTAGTTGGTTGAACATGAAAGTTTGCTAAATGCAGTGCTCACCTTTAATGAACGTGCAGTAAGATGTATTATACTTCGGATTTATTATGCCACACATACTTCCTCTTTCAGACCTCGAGTAATGGAAAAAGTCGGTAAAATCTTAATCATCTCAAGACCGTCATCCACGCGCACTCTAGGATTCCACATTATAACACCGAATTAAACCACATTTAATTGTATTTCTCTCGTACTTTGTGGGACCCACGATCACCCTATGTCACCCGACACATATACAGCAGTGGTAATTCTTCATATTTGGTCGCAAATTGTCTTTGGTCAAACATTTACAAAAATCACAACCAAAGTTTCGAAAGAGTTTTGCTGTTCGAGAAACCGGCAAAAAGTGAAATGTAGCGTTTACGTCATAGCTGCGAAAATAATGATTATAAATTTGCCAAAATTCTGGCATTTTCAAAGTGTTCAGGAAAAAAACCAGCTTAAGGTCTCGGTAAAGGAAAACGAGGTGCCCACAGAAAAAAATTCTAGTCGCGCGAGTATTTTCGCTACAAAAGCAAGTTATATATCAAATTAAAGCAAAAAGACTAAATTACCTTATAAAAGATTTTATTTCATCGAATTTCAAAAGGCCCTTAAGTTTTTTGCTCTCGAACTCAGAGGTATCGAGTTTACTGCTGAAACTCCAGCCATTTCGCGTTGTTAAATATTCACCTTCTTTTTATTGCATCTGATTGACAGATAAAAGACGTAAAAAAGGGTGTGAGGAAATTTGCATATGTCTCGTATTAGCGGAATTATTGCATTTCAAACTAAGAAGTCGATCTCGAGCGCGATTTACGCAAAGAAACTGACATAAAATGAGTTAAAAAGGGAAATCGGAAAATTCCTCACACCCTTTTTGAGTCTATATCATTATCCATCATATCTGAAAGTTTCAAAGCGATAGCTTAAAACCTGTCCCGACTGGAGGTCGGAGAATTTTGATTTTTGCGTCTACAATAGAGTGAGAGAAAATCAGCTAGAAAAGATTTAGCGCGAGGTCCACGCTTGGCTGGTTAGCTCAGAAAAGGCTCATTTTAGAAAGGTTAAAAAGCACTTTCTGATTTTCTTTTTCTGCCAAAATAAAATTTAGGACCCACCCATGCCAAAAATAAAAAAAACAAAAACAAAATCGATCAATGTACTAAAATTTTCATTTACCGAGACCTTAAGAAAATTTATTTATTTCAGTGCTGAATTGCTCTCATTTGTTTTCTTATCCAGATTGTTCCAGTTATCACTTTGAAAAATACCAAGATTTACCAACCAGAGGAGCTCACGCCGTGGAACATTTCACCATTAATGGAAGTCTTTTTCTAGCGTTCGCCAACTATAAAAGTGACACCGCCGAAAAATATAACACAGATTCTTTTATCTACAAGTTCAACGATTTGAGTGGAAAATTCTTTCTTTATCAGACCATAGGCACACATGGAGGGCATGACGTGGAATATTTTACAATTTCTGGCGAACATTATCTTGCTGTTGCTAATGTTGAAAATGAAACTACGTTCAGATTGAACTCAGTTATTTATCATTGGAATGGAACATTGTTTGTTGCCTTTCAAAACCTTGCAACTAAAGGAGGAGCCAGCTTTAATTTTTTTACAATAGCGAAAGAACCTTTTCTTACCGTATGCAATCTCTTTGATGATGTTACGAAAAGTGTCAACTCAACCATCTACAAGTAGAAAAACAACACGTTTGAAAAGTTACAGGAGATAGCGACAGAGGGATGTCGTGGAAGTGCTACGTTTGTAATTAACAATGAAAGCTACATTGCCTTTGCAAACGAGGTCACGTCGGCAACAGTAGTTTATAAGAGGGCTGGGATACACTTCGTCGAGCTGCAAAACCTTCAAAAGCAAAGTGGATGGAATGTAAAGTCCTTTTACATTAATGATGATGTGTTTCTCGCCACTGTCTTTCAACCCGCACAGCAGTCGTTCATTCACAAGTGGAATGGAAGTCAGTTTGTCCTAAATCAGACTATTCCTACTTACCGGGCCAGGGTCCTGCATCCCTTTGTTATGTGCGGTCAAACATTTCTTGGTGCGGCTAATCGGGGTAGGGGTGGCACCTACCACATAAAGTCAGTGGTGTATCGGTTCTCTCAGGACCAGTTCACTGAATACCAGAATATTTCAACTTTTGGAGCTATTGATATGACGTCATTTGAGTACAAGGGCTATACTTACTTGGCAATTGCTAATTCAGGAAATACGAACCAAAAGAACATTAACAGCACTCTGTACAGGTGGACCTAAAAAGATTGCGTATTCATTAATTAGAGAGGCCTGGGACTAAGGTCTGGGACCTGTGGAAAATGAATTATTCACTATAACTTTGGCATAGATGATGGCGCTGACTTAAAATTTGGCACACATGAAGAACTCATTGTCCTTAACATTTTAAAGTATAAATATTGTGTTGATAAGTCACCTGATATGTCACGTGATCATTTTGTTAAAAATCGTAAATTATTGACCAGTTGGTGGCCGTTTTAAGAAAAGGAATCGAGCAATAAAATTTTTCTAATTGATATTAAATATTTCTAACACTTCACGTATGGAATGACCGTCCACTGCACTTCAATAAAAAAATTATGAGGGAAAACGTCATTTTAAATGCCCAAATTTAATTTTGAATTATTTAAAACTTTAATTTTAAACTTCCTGTACATTCAATCTAAACGTATAACATTAGGTATGTTTATGCTCTCTCAGAAATACCAATTTGTTTACTTAAACAAAGTAAATTCGCCACCAATTCGCCAATTTCCTTCATTTTCAACTTTTGGTCACGCGACATGTCACGTGATCATAATTAAACGTCACAGCACAAGAAAACCTCAAGGTTTACTTTTGGGAAAAAAATTCATTTTGTTCTAGGTCTCCTGACGAGAGATATTGCCAATCATTCATATGCTCCGAACACACCTTTGACCCAGGCCTTAAACCCCTACTGAGAGGTGAGAGGGGGCCAATAGTCGGCTGTCTGTCAAAACTTAGTTTTCGATCTTTGTCGGTCTTCAGTAAATTTCTGTTAATGAGTATAAATGCATCTTAGTCGTTATGTAACTCACTCAGGTAATTTAAACTCTATGCAAAGTGTAAATAATAATAATAATAATAATAATCAACTTTATTTTTCTTGGGTGACACTTGACAGTATAAAATACTGATAAACTCGTGGCGCTCAAAACAAATTAAAATAAACACAAATACATATAAATAATGAAGTAATAAAACTAGGAGATTTAACAATTAAAATACGAGTTATCTAAGAATTAATATAAAATATATGAGAATAAAGTAGAATAGCCTAAGCTATAGTAAAGTGATGAACATCTTTATAAGACTCCAAAAAATAGTTATATAAAGACGTCTTTAAAATTTCTAAACTAGAGCTACACTTAATTTCATTGGGAAGTGAATTCCAAAACCTAGTGGCTGATACTTGAAAAGTCCTAGCATCTTCTGATTCTCTTTAATACTTTGGACAAATTAAATTCAAAGATCCATATCTACTTTGTCTTTCAGTAGAACGTATGTCGATGTTTCGTTTGAGTAATTCTAGCATATAATTGGGACCAACCCCGTTCAAACGTTTATAAACTAATGCGCACTGATTAATCTTAGCTTCAAGAAGAAAAGTTAGCCAATTGAGTTCTCTAAACAGATCTACACTATTTGCTCTAGTATCATCATTGAGAATAACGCGTGCAGCCCGCTTCTGTAGCCTGAAGAACTTATTTAAATTATCAACGGATGTAGAACCCACACACTAGAGCCATACATCATGGTTTGTTTTATCATGGCATTGTAATAATTAATTCGTTGATCTAAAGGTAAATGACGCCTGATATTTTTTCAAAACAGCAATACGCTGTGTTAGCTTCTTACATAGATTGTCAATATGCTCATTAAAATTAAGCTGAGTGTCAATAATTACACCTAACAGTTTACATGGACAGTGAGCTGCTCATCTTCTTATGTAGACGTTTGCCAGCTACTAATATAGTTTTAGTTTTGGACTCGTTAAGTACCATTTTATTTTCTGTGGTCCATTGTGCAACTTTACCAACATCAGCTTAAAGAACTTGAATTAAGGTTCCAGGTTCAGTGCTAATCAACATTAGCACTGATAGTGTCGTGGTATCATCCGCATATATGTCTACTGCTGAATGTTTTAGTATCTTTGGTAGATCGTTTATTGCGGAGCTCTCGCGCGCGAGGCGCGCGCCAGCAGAGCACCCTGGGTGAGTAAATCTACCCATCCCAGAAAATTTGGTAATCACGTGACCGTACACCGAACTACCGTCCGTCCGCACCACAGGCATACCAATGAAAAATTTGGGGTAGTCTGTGAGTGCAGTGAGAGTTTTTGATCCTGGGAACGAGGTTTTTTTGGCGCGAAAACGAATGGTCACCGCGTTTTGTGAAGCATAAAGCCTGGTTTCCATATGATCGTCCCCATCGTCTGAACATGTTTTGAGACGACTGGGACGATCCGGAAGATCCGGACGATCATATGGAAACAAGGCTTGAACAACTTAGAAGTTCAGCGAAGTCAACTCAGAACAAAAACATTTTTTTTTTTTTTGTATCAGTTGACAGAAATTGTTTTTACATTCGTATTTTCTAGAATTTTCATTCATTTTGTCCTCTAGTTTGGAGTATAGAGAAAGAGAGAGGCAGAGAAAACCGGAAAGTAGGCGGCAAGCAAGCCATGCTCAACGAGAGAGAGAGCGGCAGAGAGCCAGAGAAAGGAGGCGAAACTGCACCGACAAGCAACGGGTTACGTCTTTCGTTTTTTGTCTTCTAAACTGTCCCTTTTGACTAACATTAGGAATTTCAACGTTCTGTTCATGGGCTTGCCGCAAAGTCTTTGCCAGCAATCCACATTTCGTGTTTTCGAGTGCTCGGAAAGAAGGGACTCGTCAAACCTCAGTGTTTCTGGAAGCAAAGATATTGGAATTAATGACTGACTTGCAATGGTCACATGTTTATAAAGCAACTTTTGATTGTGTACGCAAATGGATACAAAATAACTGAAACAAACTTTAGATAGACCAGACAACATTACTTTCATAATTTATGAATTCTTTTACTATCTATTTTAAGCAATACGCACGAAGTTTCTAACGGTTCAAAAATCAGTACATGAACTCTGAAGTCGGCACTGTATTGACCCAATTTTGATTAGTGATTAGTCAAGCGATCGTCCCGTAGAAGTGATTCAGGAGAAAAACCCCCGTTAAAATTTATTTAATAAGTCGCTTGCGCCACTAAACAATGTCTCGTCTTCTCCGTTGTCTGCTTCCTGCCTGATCGCAGGTTAGTGCAATTACAGTCGAACCATCCGTAAGGCCACCAGCCAAAATGCGAAGATTTGGTGGATCGCTTACGAAAATCAAACCGCAATTGTCTGTTTCGAGAAGAGGTGACGAAACTGGCGATACACTTACTTTTTGGAAGAGAACTTATTGCATGTAAAGTTATGATAAGCGTTTTTCCGTGTTGTCACTAATTCATGTAGTTCTTCGTATTCTCCGGGCAGCGTAGTACATACAGCGAACTTAGAGATCTTACAGTGTGGCTAGTGATCGCTTAAAGAGATTAAAAGAGCGGAAAATCACCCTAAATAGTGCTCGTTTACAAGGAATTCTAACGACAAGGCTTCCTGCGCAAAAAAATTTGGTGCTTCGGTTAGATGTGTCGCTTATGGGAGTTGGTAGACTGAGAGCAGTCTCTTTTTTCTCTTTTGAGTCAAAGTACATCGAGAGCACACTTGAGAGGGGATCCGGGGGGTACTCTCTATAATGGCCTGTACGGGGAGGCTCCGCCCGAAGGTTTCATGTATATGAAAGGGTAGGAATTTCACGAGCTAAGGTACATGTAAGGGTAAGGAAATCTAATATTCGGTGTATAAAGGACTAAAAGGGCAGTTAAAAGGGATGCCGCTCCCTAAACAAGGGGGACCATTTGTCAGTAGAAGGAATAGGAAAGTGGTACCTTTTCTGTCAAAAATGGTATATAAAAGGCCAATGGGTTAAAACTCTCTATGGATCCTCCCCGTATAAAACGACATCAGGTAGCCTCCTGTCCCCTCCCCCTCCAGAGATGGGAGAGGCGAAGGCGTGAGAACCAAGCCGAAATTAATTTGCATAATTTTACTTTTTCACTCGTCGAGGGTGGCTCTTGGGAGTTCGTGCCACTGGTTACCCTAGATACATATATTTTCAATTTTTTTTAGAAAGGTAGACAGTTTGACATGCAAGCTAAATATACTGGAACCTTAATTACGTCCCTGAACTCAAAGGATAGTCCATCCTGTGGGGTCAGTAGCAACTAGCTACTTACAGGAAAAAGATTTACGATGAATTTTTTCATCAATCTCCATCATCATACTTATGTCCTGTCAATCGGTGGGGGAGGGAATAGAGAATCCCCTCGGAAATACGTGAGGAACGCGGATATAATAACAAGCATGCTATTGGGCTACTATGACTGCTGCAGCAGACTATTTACGTATATAAACTTGCATATTTCCATGGTTTTGGGGCTAAGAATGAAAACCGACACTACTGAATTACCCACTTTCTTTGTTTTTATTGTATCTAATACCATGCCATTAAATACAGGTTGTTATTTTATTCTCCTTTCACTCATAAGACCATTCAGGAACCAATAAGCTCCTGGCCATTACAGTACCTCTCAATAGTTCTTATCTCTTATCGCGTTAAGCTTCTTTGAAAAAAAAAACTACCCTTAAACCTTGAGGAAGACTTCCGTTATGGTGACTTCCTATCGCACAAAGACTTGCCAAAAATCGCCAGGGGACACTCCCACATTATAATCGTCGCATTCGCACCTGCCAGACGGTTGAAGAAGCCAGTGGTAAGCTGACTTTGCAAAAGCAGGGTGGTCGTATAATCTGTTCTGATCTCTCTCGTGCCCCCATTTGCCAACTTTGTGAGAACCTCTTTGGTATCCCCAATCCTTTCAGACTCTTGCCAACCGCCAGTTATCATTGCTCATGATCACAAACGAGCCACAAGATGCAGGCATCACATCTGTCTCACCACTGAAGTATTTCACAGCAGCCTCACCTTTGCTGTTAGCAGCCGTGGTGATGTGAAATGTACGACCTCCTCTTTTTTTGCAGTGGAATCTTATCCCATTGAAATGCAAGTGATTTCTCAGCT